TTCTCCTGGGTGACGAATTTCAACTTGTTCTCCATCCGACGCAGAGTGTGAGACAGCTCTTCATTTTTCCGAGTAAGGCGTTTGTTTTTATCCAGCAATGGCTTGTACTGACTTTCAGCTTCTCTTAGACGCTTTAACTGAAAGACAAAATTAATTACACAAGATGATTTCTTTTAAGTGACAGAGAACCGGCAGGTGTCCATACAGCCAGCCAACCAAAGCTTCGGCCACCACGACATGATCATCAACCCACTATTTGAAAAGAGTAAGGGTCAGTGCATGCTGCCAGGCGGTGTCCCCAGGCCAGCTGCCGTGCTCTATGGCCCCGTGCCCAGGTGAGCGAGCAGGCCAGCAGCTGGGCTCCACATCCCCAGGGGGCAGGTCCCGTCCCATCTGCAGACAGGGATGAATTTGAAGGCCACCAGTCTGGGGCCCATTTTGACGATAAGGCCTGAGGTAAAATCGCCTGGCCCCCTGGAACCTTCCAGAAGCTCTGAGCACCTCACACACCCTCCAGGAGCTGATGTTACTCGGAGCTCTCAGTGGCTGTAAGGACCAATGGCGACAGCTCCAAAGGGCTGTGTCCTTCTGCTTCCTAGGTCATGTGCACAATTGAGGACACTTTCACTCCAGAATATAAAACAGGGATCAACCAACCAGCACTTGAGGGACAATCTCGCCCACCATCTGCTTGTGTTAATAAAGTTTTATTGGAACACAGCCAAGAGGCCTAGATGCAAGGCCAACCCTTGCCACCATCAGTCCTTCTTGCCACAAGGAATTTTGGAAATGGACACCCCTTGGCTCCCCCAGCTCTGCAGTTATAAACCCACCAGCGCCAAAAGCCCGCCGCCTGCCACTCACCAGCTCGTTCCGTTCTTCCGACAGCAGGGCGTTGCGGTCCTCCAGCTTACGAATGATCGCGCTCAACTCTGCAATTTTAAGTTGGAAGCGGCGGGCATCCTTTTCATCCAACTGCTGTTCCTAAAACAAAAATCAACTGCAAATAACCGTTCCTAGACACAGACGTGGAAAACCTTTGCAAATCCCGACACACTACGGAAACCCAAAGGCTTCTGCGACTCGTCACCTTCGCCTCCAGATGGTGGCGGGGTGGTTCGGACCCTGCTGGGGGAAGGCACCCCTGCCTTGAGCACCATGTCACTGCAAACCGCACGATGCGGACAGAACCAGAAGGAGCAGAAATGTCCGCAAGTGCAGATGTGGGACCGCCCAGGAAAACACCAAGCCCCATGCCTTCCTGCGCCCCTGCTGAGCTGCACCTCCCAGCAAGGGTCTGCCCTGCCCCCAGCCAGGGAGCACAGGACAAGATACCCAGTGAAGACCCTCAAAAGTTGGTTTCCCAATAAATGGGCTCCCTCAAATGGGGTTTCTAAAAGATCACTTTTGGAACCACTGGAACTTCATTCAAATATCGGTGAAAACATTTTAATCTAGTTTCTGAATCTCTCTGGAGTTAATGCAATAGTTTACCAAGCACCAGAGCAGGACGGGCTGGTTTTAATTCAGTTAAGCCATTCTTAATAAGATTATAAAATGTCATTTCCTATCTCGAAATGTCACTGTCCTAGGGCGGGCTCAGCTCACACAGTTCTGTCCTCAGAGCAAACAAACGGGTGTCCAGGAAGGCTCTGGACCTGACTCAAGTTCCTCATTCAACAGGTGCAGGAGAGGCTGGGGACCAAAGACCCACAAGGACCAGCATTGAGGGTCTGTGGAATTTACATCCCCCAGGGTATACCAGAACCACTGCAGAGAATCCAAATGAGGAGTGGCGACGAGGAAGCGGATGATGTC